GGCCCACAAGTGCAACTACGTCCACGACTGCTAGTGGGAATGGAGGCACAAGTGCTCCAAGTGGTAGTGGTGCTGCGGGAGTCGGAGTTGGCTCCGCTCCTTCAACGGGCGCTCCAGGTTCGGGATCATCGATCGGTACTCCAGGTCAGGCTGATCTTGCGACAACCGGAGTAGGCGCGGCCAGTAGTACTAGTTCGAGCACGCCTACAGGCACGGCCGCTGCGACAATAAGCGAAGAGCAGCAAAAGCCACATTCATCTTCAGACGGTGAAATGCTTACAGCCAGAGAACGAGACGCAGATTTGGAGAACGAAAAAGCAAGAGGTGCCGGTGTTCCAGGTGGTGTTGGAGGAAGTAGTAACACCAGTACTGGAGCAACAGGAGGGCCAGCGGGTAGTCCACCTACTACTGCGGGAGCGGCTCCAACTTCGGGACTACCAACTAATATAGCCGAGGAGCAGGCGAAGAAAATGGAGTTGCTGAACAAGTTCTTAGTGAAAAACGCAGCTGCCGGAAATCCGAGCGCCCATATCGTAGCCGCGCCTCAGCCGACCGGAACTCCTGTGTTAGCCGGGTCGTCATCACTTATTACAACAACAGGAGGCGCACAGATCTTGTCTGCAGAGGAACTGGCTAAACAACAACAGCTCGCACACTTGCAGCTCGTGCAGCAACAGGAACGGCAGCGGTTGCAGCAACAGCAGCAGCAGGAGTTCCAGCGACTGCAATTCCAACTTCAAGTCGGACGTGCAGGCGGCGATGCGGCTTTGTCACAGCTGCAGCAGAATCAACTTGGACAGATGAATCAGCTGAACAATGCTGTTGCTGCCTCTTCGAACACAGCGAACATTAGTTTACCCGGCAGTAGCAATACTAATGCGAGTGACCCCGCGTCCCAACAAGCCCAACAACAAAAGAACCAAGCTGCCCAGCTACAGCAGAACCAAGCTGCCCAACTACAGCAACAGCAGAGTCAACAAGCTGTCCAACAGAACCAAAACCAAGCCCAACTACAACAGAACCAAGCCCAATTACAGCAGAACCAAGCCCAACCTCAGCCTCAGCAACAGCAGCATCCGAATCAGCTCGCCCCAGGTGTCGTTTCCATGCAGATGCAGAATGAAGCGGATGCCTTTGCTAAGACCATACCCGAAATGGACTTTGCTACAATAGCAAGCCGGTTGCAGAGGAATGAAATCCAGCTCTATGACCAAGGGACTCGCAAAGTATACGGTTACCAGGTACAGTTCAATGGGCAGCCCTTCGCGAAACCGCTAACGGAGGCGGAAGGTGTGCTTCTAGAACAAGTCAAAGCTTCCCTCTATAACATGAACAACGGGAACAACCAGAATGGTCAGAGTGTCGGAGCTGCTGGAGTAGTTTCCAATAGTACAGGAGGTGTTGGTGTAGTAGGAGGTCTTCCAACAAATGTACCAGGATCTTCCCAACTAGTTTTACAGCAGCAACAGCTTGCTGCTCAGCAACAAATGCAACAGATGGGACAATTGCAAGCAGGTCAGGCGGGCCAAACCCCAGATCAACAGCCCACTTCCCAAAGTTCGAGCACCCCTGCTATAAGCAGCGCTGGAGCTTCCTTCCGACAACAGCTCCTGAGCCAACTGCAGCAACGACAGGGTGGTAATGCTGTCAGATTCAGAATCAGATGGAATTTGTATTTAGTTTGGAAGAGTAGAAGAGCATTAATAGGTTTCGCTCTACTAGCTTGGATAAACAATATATCGAAATCGAATTCGAATTCGGTTGCATGCATGATACATTTGTTCATCTACTAGATCTTCACCAGGTACCTCAACACCGAGCAGGGGTCCGCAGCAAACAAATTTCGACCAGAACATGGTGTTGCAGCAGGTACAACAGGCACAACAGGCGCAGCTTGGTGGGCAGCAGTTTGGAGGAGCTGCAATGAGTGCGCAACAGCTCCTCATGGCACAGATCATGGCGCAGCAGCAGCAGCAACAGCAGCAGAATAACCTGAATATTGGAGCTGTTACTGCTAGTAATCTGCTTGTCAACAACCAACAACAGTTTCTGGGTGCGGCAAATCCTGCTGGCAACAACAACATGACCATGAACACTACAGGTGCAGCCAACAACATGGGAGCTGTCAATATTCTAGTCGGAGCAGGAGTGAACAACACCAATATGAACAGTGCGAATATGAATAACAACATGAACAACACCAGTGTGGCCAACATGAATACCGCCGTAAGTACTGCTGCTGGAGGTGTCCGAGTTGGTGCGGTGACGCTCGGGAGTGGTATCTCGCTTGCCAGTGGCATGCAAGCTGGGACATCTATGGCAAACAATGCAGGAGCTGCTCAAGGTGTAGTAGGTGTACAAGTACAACCGGGTGTACGTGTAGGTGGTGTAGGTGCTACTACTAACCAAGCGGGACAACTGGGAGGTTCTGGAGCGGTTCTAGGTCTAGGAGTAGGACAGCTTCAGACACCACAACAGCCTCAACAACAGCAGAACCAAATTTCAACGTCTTCCATTGGTGGAGCAGGGGGGGGTAATCTGCAGCAAGGAGGTAGCAGCAGTAGCACAGCCCCTATGCGAGGAAACCTGCAGGCAGCGACAAGTAATAGCACTCAACAACAAGGACATGGAGCTGGTGTCACTGGTGCTAGTAGTAATAGTGGTCCCGCTGCATCATCTTCATCAACCATGTTAGACTACAACCCTCCCCCACGACCAGTAAAAGGACTACAACAACAGCAACAAGGTCAACAAGCTCAAGCATCCGCCAATTCCAAGCAGGGAACTGGAGGCACTCAAAATCACTTACCTCCCATTCCACCTCCTTCTGGCTCTGGCGGCAACAATAACTCCTCCTTCAAAGGCGGCAAAGGGCAAAACAATTCTTCAAAGAGTAAAGGTGGACAACCTAATCAGAATCAGTCAGGGATGGGCAGTGGTACAGGAGCAGGAGGTCTAGGTAGTGGTACAGGAGGTGGTAATATGCAGAGTCACAGCAGCACTGATCTTCCCAAGAATAGTACTAGTCAGCCACACGACAGTGGACGAGGTGCTTCGATCAAGCCTTCAGGAGGACAATCACACTATGAAGGTGCTTCTCATTACGGCCAAGCACAACACCAACAGCCGCATCAGGGACAACATTATGGGCAACACCAAGGACATCAAGGACATGGACACCAAAGTCAGGGAGATCATGGCCACCAACTCCAACATCCTTCAGGCATGTCTCATGGTTCTGGACCTCAGCATGGGCAACATGGTGGAAAAAACAACCCTCAACACCAGCAGATGCAACACGGTTCCTCTCACTACGGAGAACAAGTGGAGCTAATAGGAACCGGGCGTGGTCGGGAGCAGACTCACCAGGCCAATTCCTCTAGTTCCTGGCATCAAGGTGGGGGTCATCATGCTGGTCATGGAGGCGGAGCGACGAATATGAACAAGGGTGGCAGCACAGGACAGATCACTGGAGGCAAGCATGGAAACCAGGTCCAACACACAAATTTCGCGACAAATCCAAACGCAAAAGGAGGTGCTGCTAGTGGACCTGGCGGCGCACATCAAAACGTGAATGTGAACATGCTCGACTACTATCAACACAAAGGAAGCAATGTCAACAGCAGTACGAGCGGAGGAGCAAATAGCAGCGGAGGCTACAAAGGCGACCACAGTAGTACTGGTCTAGGAGGGGGACAGAACAGTTCCTACAATAGTGCGACCACAGGACAAAGCTACAACAGTGGTGGTTCAAAAGGGGACCATAGCTACAGCAACGCCAAAGGAAGTGGTGGCGGTGCCGGCGATGGTTATGCGAACAACAACTACAATAGTCAACATGGCGCCGCATCTTCTAAAGACGGCTACACCTCAGGACCTCACGGCAATGGAGGGTACGGCAGCCACCTCTCAACCTCTTCAGGCAATTACAACAAGGGAGGTGGTGGAGCTACAGATTATCATGGTACCGGGAAAGACGGTTCTGGAGGTAGTTATCATGGTTCTTACAATAGTAACCAGATGAAAGGCGCATCACCGTCTGATGGATACGCGACCGGCAAGGAGGGTGGGGGCAAGTACATCAACAATCCAGGAGGAAAAGGTGTCGCGGCTTCTTCTCCTGGAGTGGGAGGTTACACTGGAGCTGGTGGCGCAAATCCCAACATGTTGGTGAACTACAACAGTTCCGCAGGACACACTGGGCAACATCAATACCAGGCTCTGAACCAGTGGACCACTGCCTATCATCAACACCAGGGAAAAGGTGGAAAGGATGGTAACTATGCTGGTGGCCAGCAATACCCAGCTTCGACTCCAGGTACAGGAAGCGGCTATTATGGTGGAGCTGGAGGGTATCATCAGAACAACAAGGGAGTAAAGGGCGGGAATAAGAACAAAACGGATCCGGCCAAGGAGAAGGACGTGGATGGTGGCTTTGAGGCTATTGGGGCAAAGAGGCTAGCAGCATTGGACGCATCACCGCCGAAAGAGACGAAAGAATCGAAAGAGTGAGTACTTCTTACGCTCATGTCCTGGTCTTTAGCCCTACTGTTCCAAGTACTTATAGGCCTATAGATGATAATATCCACGTCTGTTGTACTAGTTGTAATCTCTCTGTTGTAGTTTTTGTTGGTTTTTGCTACTGCTCCCTTGTATTATAGATCGAAGTCCCCCTCGGACTTGCCATTGTTCCTTGTCGAGTTACCTCTCCTAATCTTCCTATCCTGGTGTTTTGTTTAACCCCATAAGCGGCCATGTTGACCATTGATTCATTGTAATAGAGTTTGTTCCGTATTACGGTGTGAACATGTAGAAACAGCATGAAGATGATCGTCACGGGAACCCCGTCCCGCCGTGACGATTATCGAGCTATGGTACGAGATAATAGTAGAAAGGCGGCTTTGTTGTAGCCTGGCCTCCTACCATTAAAACCTCTCAGCTAGTACTGGTTTTTCTCGCTTGTCGGATGCAACAGGCTCCCTCGCTACTTCTCAGAGTGGATGTTTGACCGTCATCATTCAGAGTTATTTATTCATTGTAATTGTTGTCCTAGGAAGATTAGGAAAAATGACAACCCCATTTTCTTTCTATTACGGAATTTGTTCATTGTCACGTATTTTCGTCAAGAGATTCTACGCCTGAGTTACTTACTAGAAGGCAAACCATCAAGAAGACTAGAACAAGAACTTCATGTTCATACAACCTGGTCGTCCCCTATAACTGACTCCACTCAACATCATGGTCATCATACATGCACATCATCCATTTTCTACGACCCCTTAAAAAATGTCTATGTCATGTATTCAGTCGCAGAAAGCAGAGCGGTATAAGATGAAACAACTCAAAACGTTAGACATAGACCTTCCCTGCTGTGGCAGCATGGTCGTCCTCTCAGCGGCATCTGTAAAAAATCAATCTACAACTAAAGACACGGAGTAGTTTTTACTGGTGTCAATGAAAGGCTTGGAGTTGGAGCTCCTTATACATTCATGTTTTGGAGGACAACACGATCACACCAAGCTCTCGTCGTCGACATGGATAGCTTTCATATTCCATGCCCATACATTTTTTAATGCAGCAGATTTGAGGAAGTAGAACTAGGCTAAGAAGCTTTCTCAATCAGGAAGAAGGGTCCTCTTCTTTTCGAACGATCATTGTTGCGCGACGTTCTAACGGCCTGAAAGATACTATGCTGTGATAGTAAGTAATTATGGTGGGCCTAAAAGTATGGATGAAAATAATGACTGAGGCATAGGTGACATGATCATGAAGATTGTCGTGCTAGACAACTGTCGGCAACGCAGTAGCTAGTTTGACTAGATTTAAGTACTAGCTGCTGACGAGCAGGACAACTACTAGATATAGCTACCACTAGTACCAACACAGTATTCGCTAATGGTGGTCCTGGAACAACCAAATGCCTGCGCGACAATGCGATTGATGAATGCTCTACCACTGATGTTGGCCGAAATAGCTTTGATTAGCCAGGAGCACCAACACTTTTCATACCCTCCACGAGTATTGATGAAGAGAACTTGTCCTCAATTCCAAGCAACGGCTAGCAGAAGTAACTTTTTACTTCCTCTGTTGGACAGCTGCATATGCTTGTGGTGTGATTTTTTGTTCTACTTGGCTGGTTCTTGCACAACTTCCGAAAAAATCATAAACATATTAATTTTGAGAAGATCAGCTGTCGTGACTAGCAAGTTCCCGATCTTCAGGAGAAAGTGGAGGAGGAGAAAAATGAAGATCATGCAACGAAAGGCGGATGATCTTGGCACAAAATATGTTTCATGGTCTAATGATTACTATGACACCAGGATCGAGGTTGGGTGGGGGAGGAGCCTTAGAAAATGGATGTGATCCAGTAGTTGGCTATGCGAACTAAATATTGTAGAAGTAGAAACTTTAACTTTACATGAATTCGCAAGTAGTCGTGTTTCTCCTTGGTTGTAGTGTCATCTGTCTTCAAAGATAACTTCTATCTACATGAAGACTTACAGTCGTGTTTCAAACTTATTTTTAGGCCAATAAAAGAACCACCATGGCTGCTTGTGACGAGGATGGGGCTGGCGCTAGCGGCGTTGTTGAGGAGCAGTTTTCTAAGGTGATCGACAAGCACGTGGTTTGCGGTAGTCATTTTGCAGGTGTGCTTGAGGGCGACGGGGGTTATGTCGATCAAGTACAACACCAACGGACTGGAAAAGGAAAAGCACAGAAGATACGAAGTCGACCGTTACTCGAACAAATGGATGGTGTTGTGTTGGACTATTGCCTGTCATCTGCTGAATGTCGTGCTTTGATCGAGCGAGCCGAAGCGGTTTCAGGTGCAGGAGCATTTTCGCCTTGGAACGATTCGGAGAACAAGGATAACAGTGCTTCGAGTTCGAGTTCTTCTAGTTCTAGTTCGAGTTCGAGTACTAGTCCTAGTTCTAGAATAGATAGCGTTGAGTCTAAAAACAGTGATCACGACCTTGAAGATGCTGATCATCCCGACGCACCAACTGCTCGTGAGCCTTGTCAACAGGACGAGACCACGAGAAGTGCCTTTCGTGTAGCCGACACTTGCGAAGTCGCTGCTGACGCTCTAGCGGACACGATTTTCAGCAGAATAAAACATCTAGTGCCCCAACGCAAGAGTTTCAACGACGAAGACGCTGAGGACTACGAACCGGATTTACAAGGCGAGTGGGTTCTAGATACTCTGAATCCAACGTTTCTCTTTGCGCGCTATCGCAACGGGGGACACTTTTCGCCGCATACAGATGGAACCACAGTATTCGACTTCAACAAAAGGACATTGTACACAGCGATTATTTATCTGGACGACTTTGATGAAGATCTACTTGCTGAAGATGTGCTGCCTGAAGAAGCTATAATTACAGTGAATCAGGAGAAGCCTGAAGAAGATCCAACAAGTAGACCGAGCACCATACCTTCCGAGGTTGTAGAAGCTTGTTCTACTTCTAAAAGTGCGACGAGCTGCAAGCCTGAGTATTTCAACCTGCCTGAGAATTCAGGGGCAACGCGAATATTCAGGGATGCTCAGATATGGGAGAAATTGGAAGTTGTTGAGGAGGAACTGGAGGACGGTAAGGATAGGCAGCTCATGATCAAGCGTGTTGTCGGTAATGAGGACCATGTGGCGGGTGTAATCGTTGAGGAGGAACTAGAGGACCTGGAGGACGAGGCTGGACAAGAACAGGAACAAGAACGAAGGCTAAGCAGGACAGAAACAGAGAGCACTTCTACGGGTAGCACTCCGTCGAATTCTGAACACAATCTATATGGTAAGGATATTTGTGCGACTCGTACTAGCCGTAGGAGTAGCACTGATAACGGAAACGGTAAGGATAAGCAAGTCATGATCAAGCGTGTTGTCGGTAATGAGGACCATGTGGCTGATGTAATCGTGCCCAAGAGTGGTCGGATTTTGGTCTTCTATCATCGGCTGATGCACGAGGGCTTACCAGCTCGCAAGAAGCATATCATTCGCACTGACTTAGTTTTTCGAAGAGAAGTGCCACTGTTGACTTCAGCACAGGACCAGGAGGCATTCCGCTACTATCAAGAAGCTGAGGCGCTTGCGGAAGCGGGGAAGCAGAGAGAGGCGATGGAAAAATTTAGATGGGCTTTTGGGTTGAGTCAGGAACTGAAAAGGATATATCGAATGTAAGTGTAACCATGCTGGTTTTCTACTTTCTGGTGACAGGATGCCTTTGCTTAATTATTCTGAAGATTCATTGTTAAAAATAATTACAACCCCTACAACGCTCCCACCACGACTTCCCCAGACATTTTCCTGTACAGAATAAGAACAAAATCAACAGAGCAACGAAATTCGATTACTAGGAGATACAGTCTTTAGTATGACTGGAGGAAATGAGGATGTTCTGAAAAAGGTGGTCCTTTCTCGACTTCGATTTGTGCCGGCTTCTAGATGAAAGCAGGAATATCTCGTACTCTTGCAAGAATGAAAACGATGAACATAAGCTATTTTGTTTTTCTGAGAAGCTGTCAGGATCCTCCTTGGATGTGAATTCCGTTCCAGATATCACGATCGAGTTTTCGGTGGCTTTCGTTGACAACTAGACGAGGTTTTTGAGTCACGATTTTCTTCAAAACTTGCCAGGAGTGATTTTGTAATACGTTTGTCACCTTTGGTAGTACTACCATGATGGAAGAAAGGGATCATCTTCTTGATGTCGATGGAGGATGGCTGAGTAGGTGAGTACATGAGGATCAGGCTGTTCTCCCTATTTCGTTTTCTTCACCTGACTAAAACAACTGAAGTTCTTTGTACGGACACAACTACGTGCTTCCAACACCTAGCGACATGAACATCTTTATCTATGATCTAATATCATTCAAAGGAGGAAGCAGGAGGAAGACATCATGAGATTGTTGAGCAGGAGGACCTAGCGACATCAACATCTTCATCTATCTAATGTCATTCAAATTTACGACGAGCGTGCAAGATCATCGTCGTTCAAGAGTAAGAAAAAAATGCAGGAAGTACCTCCAGGTGATCCCGAAGATGTCTTGTCCTTGGACGAACAGGTTGAAATCCTCGCATCCATGTATCCCGAGAGAAATCTCGAAGGTGCGGGTGACGTGTGGAGAATCGATCTTTTCCCCAATGTTGGTGGCGACGCTAGGAAAGAGTTCATGTTCTGCACAGTGGAATATGACAGAAGTAGAAGACATTGTCAGAAGAGTCTTGAGCAGGAGGAAGTGGAGCAGCTTCTGGTAAAGGAGGTTCAAGAACACGAGGAGGTGGCAGTCGTGAAGGAGCAACCGGTCGCAAAACAGAAAGATGGAGGAGAGTCGCATGGCTTACAAGATACAACATCTTCAACTCAGGCGGAAGGAAGCAGTAATGGTACTGGAAGTCATGGTAAAGGCAAGAAAGGACGGTCGAAAGGAAAACGGAAAGGAAAACATGCTTCTGCAGAAGACGTATCCGCAGAAACACAATTGCAGGAGCGGCCGCACGAACAGCCTCGTCGTGGAGACGACCAGACAAGCGACATAGCGGTAGATGAAGCTTCCTCGAGTAGCGCGAAAGGTAACAAGAAAGGCAAGGGACGCGGAAAAAAAGGCGAAGGAAAAAAGGGTGGCGAACGCGAGGAAGGGAAAAAAGGCGGCGGAAAGCATAGCAAGGGACGCAAGAAGGGCAAGGCGGGTGTTGACGAAGTCGAAGTTTATGTAGAGCCTCAAGAGGTCGTGCAGAAGCAGCAGCACCAGCAGCAGGAGTCTCCTAAATCAAGTGCTCAAAATCATCATATCAAGTGGCGTGTGAAAGAACCGACAGGTGGAAAAAATAAACCAGATGAAGGTCCTGCGAGATCTCCAACGACTACGACATTCTCTCCCGCATCCCGACTGAAGACCGGAAATCATCAACATGTCGTACTCAGACCCAGGACCACTCCGCAACTGCGTCCTCCTTCCTGTTGGCGCGTTGTCAAAAGCGCCAATTTGGGTGAGCACGAACTGAAAAAGCTACTTGACCGATTGGACAACCTAAACCTTGATCTTGAAGAAGCAGGACAAGGCCACGTTTCTCCAACAGCAGCATCAACAGCAGGAGGCGTCGTCTCAAATATGCCTTTCGTGGACGGCGTAACGTCAGGGATAGACTTTTTAACAGAATTGAACGAACAGCTGGGTGGAGACTGCCCTGTATGCAGTTTTCCTCTAGATGGCCCGGATGTCTACGGAGATACCGGTCCGCTCTACAGACCGATCGCGTGCTTTCATGCGGTACTACACCATAACTTTGTTTGCTGCAAATTTTGGTCTTGTTCACTTTTGCTTTCATGATAAGGTTACGGTACTAGCAAGCTACTGAATTTCTTTGTTATTACTTTTACTTAGTTAAACGTAGGGTTATTTGGAACAATGAATTTGAACTGACTTCTGTCCTAACTTTTTTACTCGCGGCATCTGTTTCTGATCTCCTTCTTCACCTCTACAGATGCACCGTTCTTGTGTGATTGGGTATTGGAAGGCCGCAGAAGGCGAACGTTTTTGTCCCGTGTGTCGCAAGGCAGCTACCCACGAAGACCTTCTAGAACTACACGTGGAAATAGAACAAGAAGATGGCCGCGATGGCTCATCTTCAAGAAATCAGCATCCACGAGGACCTCAAAATGAGTCAGCATCGTCTAGCACCACAGGAGCTTTTAACAACACCGACAATTATTACAATGAAACATCTGGTGGGTCCTCCTCTTCCTCCTCTTCGTTACGTTTTCAAGTGAGCACTGACGCGGGCTTTAAGCCCGCTTTCGAGCGGTTTCGCGATGGGTTCGGAAAGGAACTGTCAGATTCCCAGTATTACAGGCCAAAAAATGGCGCAGCGTATGCGATATTCACCTTTCGCAGTCAAGACAAGGCGTTGCGAGCTATGCTGAACTTACGGAATAGGGCTGTTCCTTTAGGGGACATCCAAGAGTCGACGATCCAAGATTCTCCAAGAGACGAAGACCCACCGACTAAAAAAGACGAAAAACCAACATGGAAAATCAGTTACTATTTTCCACCGATTTCATAGCACTCAGTGCGCTCCAAACCTGACTTCATAGCATGACTCACCAAACATTTTCACTACCATTTGAGCCACAATTTACCCAACAATCCATTTTCGCGGCAACTATATCGCGATCGCAGTGTCCGATCGCTCATCATGTTTTAGATCATGATTAATTCCTTCACACTTTCAGCTGCTGTGTTCATTCGTTCACGCGGGAACTAAGACATACAACAATTATCAGTATTCTGGAATCGGTCGCGGCTCGTGTATTAACAAAGATGCAGTATACTACAAGCGTCGGTATGCGAAATCGGTGGTCGTCATCTCACGCATACGTCTAGTGATCCCATCCGCATCTGCATCGGTCGTTATTCATCGGTTCTATGACTACCTAAGTATGACCTATCATGCCTATCTGTCACTGCGAATAAACAAGTCGGTTGTAAAAACAAGACTTCTCGTTCTCTCAATAATAACGATCCTCCTTCTACGAATCACCTCTGACTAAGACCATAAACCCGAAATAACGTGGGACTTGAAGTTGACGGATCTTAGCATCTTGTTTTATAGTACCGTTCGTTGCATATGGCCTATCGAGAAATCCAACTCCTATAGCTCCACTCTTCTATTTCTTACCCGAAAGAACTACGTACTCCCCGTTATTACTCCTACTTTTTTTATGTGAATCTACTCGGCATTTTGCGTAAGATTTCCCTGGCGACTTCTACCCACTCCATAAAACTGGTCTACTTCTCTGAGCGGGGGAAGCTAGCCCGGCCTGACAAATAGGTACAACCTGATACCTGAACACCACCACGCTCCTACTTTCCTACCCGTCACTACTGACTGGCGTAAGCTAGGTCTCCCTGAATAGCAGCTCCCCAACAAACAAACAGAAACAACCATCAAAATGGCTCCACCCGCCGATAGAGATCCGCTGAACGGACGTGGAGGGGGGAGAAATCCGATCTTCGAAGACGTTGTCCAGAAAGGTGGAGCGTGCTTTGCTGCTTTGGTATTTCCTGTTCGGTGATGAAAGAACTAACACGCAAACAATTACTGATGCTGTTAATCTATTGTGCGGCAAGTTGCCTAAGACTTTTCTGCCGATTCCATCTAAGCACTTGTATTATTTAATACGAAAAGGAAAGCAACTACAGCTGCAGGAAGTCTAACTTCTAAGTCCTACTTCTATCATCCTACTTCAGCACTATCTTCCCTGTCTATCATCACTAACAAAGAAAAATAGAAGTACTACATTTTAACACACGAGGACAACAACATTACTACAACTTAACACACACTACACGCACACACTACAACACTAACAAACTACTAGGCTCTGTCTGGACTTATTGGTGGCGTTTTTACCCTATTCTGGCACGTTTGTCATCCTAGTGGCCCACAGGGGGATCCGTTGGCTAGGATGACTCCCGAGGAAATCGCTGCCGCGGCTGCACAAAGAAATGCTTTTCTATTAAGACAACAAGACCTTAAAAGATGCACATTGACATACAGAAATACAGTCGTCCTCTTCACAAGGTAATCTGTAGTGTTTTTCCCTTAAGCATGAAGTGTCTTCCTGAGACCACTGAGACTTGATAAGTGGTCTCAGGAACAGAATTGAAGTCAGATGATATTGCTTTTTTTTTCTTTTTACTACGAGCGATGAGAGTGTTGAGAGCGTCACGTCTACACACCTCGCGGCCTGCTACTCCTCTTCGAGATGCAATAATGAGGCACTACGACTGACAACTTCTTTACCCACACTTTTTGTAGTCTAGTTGTACAATCATGAAGATTACTTCAACATGCTCCTGTACTAGGTAGGGCGGGTTTAGTGGTTGTTGTCTTCATCCACATCAATTTGTAGTAGTATCATCTTCTAACCTTCGCGCCTCCACCTCCTGGAAATAAGCCGGTAAAGGAAAGATCCCAGGGAGATCCAAACGCGATGAAGCCTGGTGGTCCAGTACTTGGTGATGCAAAGCAAGCGGCGCATATGAAATGATGCTGAGGATCACTTCTCGAAGTATACTATAGCAAAAACATGAACCTACACTACCGTATAATTATAAGCGTCTTCAGAGGTCGAATACATAGCAGTCGAACAGCAGTAGTCACGACGTACTGAATCATGAATCACAATCTCAAAGAACTACAACACTTCTTGTTGCATGAAGAATCCTCGCGGTTTGGGTTTCTATTCGATTCCCTTCTTACATATCAAAAGTACTATCTAGAACCACAACCCGTATGCTCGCACCACACCGTAGTTGTAAAAGCGTACCAGTCTTCATCACTGTCATTCTAAGACCGAAGAACTCCCCTGGTTGTAGATACCACTATGGTTGATGTAGATCCTTCCCTCAATCTGAAAATACTGCAGGATATGTAAGAAGTACTACCAAGTTGAACTACGTCACCAACATGTGCATCCACATATACTGGAATTGATTACGTCCTCTGTCATGGTACTATGTATACCCTTTAACCCCGAAAGTAAGGACACAGCCACCTCTTCAAGATATCGTGGCTCTAACAAGAACCCTAGCAAATATGCACACTCAGATTTTTCCTGCACACTCAGATTTTCCCACTGTTGACAACAGTGGGAAGTCAATCAAACGAGACATAACAAACAGCCGATGAAGATCGACGTTCTTACGCAGTTTGAACAACTTACACGAGTGAGTCATCGCGACAAGAATAGTTCTTTTGTGGGATGCTTTGTTGGGGATGCTCAAGAACCTAAAAGTTTTATCATCCCTAGAGCTAGAGAAGTCGTGTGGCATTTCTCATATCATCGGATCGATTATGGAATCGGTGTGACAATGTTATGATACCACAGTCCGATTTATCAACAAAGTAGATGAACGAGGAGTTTCTGTTTACGAGAGAACCATGCTTAATCGCATATCGGTCTTAGGAAAATGGTTACCTCCATCGCATCGTGTGGAGCCAAGACTTGAGGGATTGGCGAATGAAACTTACAAATGTTGTGGTAACAAAGACAATAACAGGATGAAATAAGTGAAACTTAAAGTTTTTCAGACGGCAAATTTGCTGGCTTTCGACTACCGAAGGTGTATGAAATGAAATATGAAAGTGGAAGGAGCGCAGTACTCGTCAAAAACTATGATGGAATTAAAATTAGCCTCTTTGGACTCTTTCGAGATCGTCCCCTGGGGTCGACTCCCGCTCGTGACTTGGTAGATGACACGATGCTCAACAGAAGTGTTCATCAAGGTTTTAGTGGTGCATCACTACATAATGTCATATGGAAGAGGAACATGATCGGTACTGCAGAGATGGACGACATGACAAGACCTTCCTGCAGAGCTCAACAACGTCGTTCCCGTAGTACCTGAGCATCGGTCCCTCAGTGATTTTCTCTCGGTTTTTCTCGGTTGCCCTGGTTGGTAGATCAGTCTGTCATTTCATTCGCTGTCCTACAAAATAGTCAAAGAAGTTACAACACGAGGAAATACATCCTCGTCGATCCCCGAACATCTTCAACAACAGCAGAAGCCTCTGGTTGTTCGGCTAAGACGAGGACGTATCTTGTAAGATCTCTAGTAGGACTTATCTTACATTCATTCATTCATTCATTCATTCATAAGCAGAGAAAGAAGTCTTCAAAATAAATTGGAGTTTGGCAAATCTAGAAAGGCATCTTCATACAGCGGCAAGCAAGACCAAGATTCGACAACTAAATACAATGCGTCTGAAACAAGACGCTTGATCAACAAGATGGTCGGTAACTCCTTGTCGCTACTGCTTGCAGCATGCTGCAAAAGAATAAGAGCCTCCTCTTACTTACGGCTTACAAACATGAAAGTAGAATAGATTCGATCCATCAAGAAGCCAAGGAGGACGTTGTGAGGAGTGTACTTGGTACACGTACTTCTCCCGTAGTTGTGCCCCATTCTAACTTAGTACCCAACGACGACGACGACGACGACGACCCCCTTCTACGTCTACGGCTACAAACTTCCAGGAGGAGTGCCCCAGGGTCTGATAAAAGCAATTTTGGTGGTGGCGGTAGGGAGTGCTGTCGGGATCAAGCACGGGATCGCTCACCGCATTAAGGTAGGGAGTGTTGTCGGGATCAAGATCAAGCACGGGATTGCTCACGAGAGCCTAGTAATAGTTGTATCCTTTATTGATTTGGGAAACGTTTTAATGTCAAGAATGTTCTGTTAGTTTTGTTTGTTTGTTTCGATGCGCTCCGGGCCACGCGTACGATCCCGCCGGTTCTGTTAGTTTTCCTTTTGAGAGAATTTTGGAGAAATGAAGCCGGGACGCCAAGTTGTTTAATGGGACGATTACTTGAAGAGACTTGCATATTTAGAAAGATTACCACCTGAGACTTTAATACTTAGGACTTCTGAGCCGTTTAGGAAGATCATGGACGATATAAAAAAACATAAACATCTTAATGCAATACCTCATGCTAGGCACATTCATTCACTCAAGTTCCTTCATGATTATGCCTGTTTCTTTTGAGCTCCTCTAAGCCCACAAGAGGTCCTCGTTCTAGGAGCTGTACAGATTTGGTTACGGATGGAATGCTTGCGAAGTATCCAGAACTCCGTAACCTGGACAACGCACTCCAGAACGAGAGGGATGTGGCCTCGAAGGCGGTAAAAACTCAGAAATTTAAGGCCAGTCGTGAATATATTGGTTATGCTTTTCTTGGTTTTTCCTAGTGGGGTTGAGGTAGTTGGCTCCGCCACTCTTATACGTCAAATAGGTTTATTTATCACGACGACTCGCAGTGAAAAAGTGCCATCCAGCACGAGGAATTATTCAATATTTTTTGTCTGAAGTCCACCTGCTCACGACTTCGATATCCCCATGTTGATTCGTAAGTATCAATATCACTAAAAACTACACGTACACGTCTTTTTTTCGATGTTAGCTGTGATGGAGTATGTATTGATGCTGAGTGGACCATACATAGATATTACGGGTCAGAGTCGAGTCAAACGTGAGTAGTAGTAACGGGATAACGGGAATAATGGGGTAGTGTCAACGGGATAAGAGAGGCGGGAAGTACTAGGAGTCAACGGGATAAAAAGTGGATCTTGCCTCCTGCTGTGAGCTCTTAGGTGGAGGATCGAGGTCCCGCTGGCTCCTCTGAACCAAAGGAGCAGACGGGCCCTAACTGACAAAAACGCGGACACAGCGACCGCCTGCTATGGTGGACTACTCGAGGCGAATAATGATATTATCGCTTATTTAACAGTAGTCGCCCCCTATATCGACGGAAGGGCGTGGATTGTTCGCTCTCTCTCGTGTAGGCGCGACTGCTGTGACACGGCCACGAGAGCCTCGAAGATCATGAGGGCCGCCGACGGCATGGAATAGAGAAGTACTAACTAACTCGCAATCTCATGGTCCACACGACGCATGCTTTACCTCAACCCACTCGACCACGTTGCAAACGGAAGGAGTAGTGTAGTGGCCCTCTAAACCCCTGGAGTGGGTACATTCATTAACTCACTCACTTACACCTCTAAGAAATTCAGGAGGGGACTGCTGGACTCGCAAAGTAAGTACATGGAGCAGGTGTGCGGAGCCGATTTCAACAGTGACGATTTCTATGGATGTAGTTTTTTCTTCATCGGTCATGGTTAATTACTGATTTAAGTTCACGGTCTTGTTCCATCTACAACTACTCTACAAGAAGCAAAAATATTGAATAAGTGTCTAATAGATGAATAAACACCAACATCGATCAACAACCAAGATATTGTCATAACTACATCAAGGGTGCTGGGCCTTTCATGATATCCGTTTCCGTTGGAGTTTCGCGAGCAGAAAGGAACCTGACTACGAGCGGTTGCTGCCCCTGTTGAACCACTTAGTCACTATTGCAGAGGACCCCAAGGACCTTACGAGTGACCAGTGTTAAGGCACCAGTCAGGGTCAGCAGGAAAGACTACCTTAGTTACTAGTTGTTCTTGGCATTCGGCTAGGCCGCTATCCTCATACAGTAGACTTCGCACTTTCTTGGCATTCGGACTACTACTATCATAGTAGAAAACCACCCTTACTAGTTACTACATTACATCTTTATCATGGACGCCTGTGGAACTATTTCTGCTCATTGTATTCATCCAGATTTGTACTTGGACTTTGTATCAAAGATGATAACAACACAGGGAGAGGGAGTACTCTACACCAATAACTTTCTTACATTTTTTTTCTGTTCCTGGCACTGACAGTCAGGGAGAGGGAGCACTCTTTATGGTATACATACATCTTTCATCTCAGACAGCGTCGCTTCATTCTTTGCTGATGGTGATCTATCAGATATTCTTTTCGTTTTGTTGCTCCCATACTAGTCTATGAAGATGAATATTTTTCAACAGAACGAAACAAAGACTATATTTATAATCTCTATATTTTTTTTGCTTCTACTTCGTTCTAATACTGGGCCGAATATGCCAAGCAGTGCTGTCCGGCAAACTTCCAGATCCAGTCTAAAAATTCGAAAAACGACTCCAGTGCCACGACGCCGAAGAACGAATCCAGTGCCACGACGCCGAACGAATCCAATGCGACGCCGAGCGAATCCAATGCGATTCCGAACGAATCCAATGCGATTCCGAACGAATCCAAGGCCACGCCGTCCACTGTTAAGGGTTCCCAGAAGATTACATCCTTCACATAATTCAGCCGCCCGACTCTTTTTCCAGTACGAAAGAAGTCCGGGATGTTCTGAAGAATGCAATGTCGCATGTTCTGATGAAGAATGCTCTAACACTGTCGAAGACGCGACCAAGGAGTCCGGTTCGTGTGATTCCTGCCGATGAGAACCGCTCTACTGTTCTTGAAGATAGGAGAGCAGCTGTATTGTTCTTTATTGTTTTTAACGAGCATTTTTACCATGAAGAACTATGTATAGAAGACGTAATTTTCTGTTGTACTGCTTGCAAAAGGAAAGGCATTGCTCTCAAGTAGGTTTTAAAAGTATCGTACTCGTAGCCAGCTGTGAACAAGGTGCAATAAAGTACTTCAGAAGTTGTTCGTAATTAAGACTTGCCGTAATTCATCTTAAGAGGCATCCCTGACACGTTTTCAAGGGGGAAATACGTCAAAGATGACTTCCAAGATGACTTGTTTTAAGCTCTAACCTCATGTATTCCAAAATTTATATTTTTTGGCAGTAGAAGGAGGAGATGAGTATTGAGCCTGATCTTCAAGAATCTTGGTTATACTCGTCAACGATCCTTAAAAGTCTCGTGCTCAACATCCTACTCTTCAGCCGTCACACACTCATAGTTGTCCATACACACTCGTAGCACATCCGCATACACTCATCCAATTTTTTAACATCCTTACACTTACACACTGATGCCGCAACATAAACCCTAAAAATAATATTCCTTGTTAGGAGAATTAACATCGACTATGTACTTACCCATGTTCTGGCTTCAACAAAAGCGCAAGATGACGTGGCCCGTAAATGATACATAGATAAAGTTTACAGCCAAGCAGCTCATGACAAGTAGTAACAACTCTTGAAGTTCATCTACAGCAACGCTTTGTTTTATTTCATAATCGTGAATTCTCACCGCTCTATAGGCGAGCCAATTCCTATCGGACCTACACATTCAAAATATATGGTGGACCATCAACATGATAGTACTCAATTGTAGTACACAGAGCTGCTCCTGCAGGATTGATGGGGTTCAGCGACATGATCGACAAAGATAGCACACCAAGGAGAGTTTTTGTTCCTCCAGTAGCCAACGGCACCATCCTGGTAGAGCAACACCTAACCCGACCTAAGATCGTCTCCCTAGGATGTACTGTCGAGCTGGTCTCACTAGTATACACTAGTATCTATAAAAGTTCTAGGTGGAGATGAGTCAGTTGTTGTCTGCATCTTTCGCAGAGGAGCTCCACCTCCACATCGGTCTTTCATGCACTCTCGTTGTTCCTGTGGACACAGCAACCCTCTAATAAGGGAAGCCTCTCAGAGCGACGACCTAGACGAGGGCTCGTACACCCAAGATCTATTGACTGCGCGCAGAGTTATGGGTTCAAAGCTATTCGACAGAGTTTTTGAGTTGGTACAAATTCTGGAAGCCAATCACTCAATAATATGCGGCTGCCGAACGAGCGTCGGTGAGTCAGGAATCAGTCACTTAGTGAGTTAAATAGCTCTCTGGAGTGGTTCCCCAGGGGCAGGCGTCATGATCACCGACGCAAAAGCGGCCAGCGACGTGATCAATCTCCTATGACTATCTCACAGCACAGACGACTATCTAACGGAGTTGAAGCCCTACATCTACGACTTTCAGACATCTTGTGATGAGTTCGATGCTGACAACGCGACCACAGAGGAGCTAACTAGTTTTCTTCTTCCTCGATGTAGTTCAAGTTGTACTAGTAGGCCAGTGGTTTTGACCTACAACCCCAACCGTACAAGCGAAGCGATGGAGAAGATTAAAATCGCAGAAGCATTCACGAACTACGCTATTCCAAGTCTAGAAGGTCACGCTAGTTCTCTTAGTGGCCCGAAGTATTGCCTATCGATGTGTTCTCCTACTGATCAATCGTTTTCTTCTACTGCAGTAGGAGCAACACCATCCAACACTACAAGCAGTTCGTCACCTTCTTCTACGAATCAAACACTTCGACCGGATTCAAATCATTCGCTTCAACCGGCTGAAGAAGTAGATCCTCAAGAGTATGACGATCGGCAGAACTATGAAGAAGCTAGTGGTGATGATAGTAGTGACGACAGCAGTCCTATCCTCAGCACCACTACAAAGAAGAAGAAAAAGAAGAAGCAAGGAAAAGGAAAGAAGAAGCGGAAAGCAGACGAAGAAGCAGCACCATCTTCGTCTCGACCTGCCAAGAAGTTCCGTGGTAACGCAAACACCACTACGCCTAAAGGAGCGTGGATTTCTTGGGATAAGCTTTGCGCGATTGCCATGCAGTTAGGATTTCCAAGTTTTCAAAAGTTATGGCAAACGGTTAAAGCTATCGATAACTCACGGCAAGCCCGTAGTATGGTTATTCAGTACTGTAAGCACAACTTAAACCGCCTCAACAAGTACGCCTACCCTCGCCACAAAGTAGGCGGTATAGACGGACTTCGTATCTCAGATTTCACTGCTGTTGATACGTTTTTCCCTCTTGGAAAGAAGTACTACGCATTACACGCTATTAACTTACACTCTAGAGCGAGTGCCACTAGGACACTACGCAAGGCACCCACCGGAAACGACACAACTGAATTTCTGGAGCACTGCAAAGGCAGAGGCATCCTCGGCAGGTGTGTCTTATCTGATCAAGGGAAAGAATTCGATAACACTCAAGTGCGCGAATATCTTCAAATGCATCGCATGGGTATGGTTTCTATCTTACGCCTAAAGCTAGCTGGGTAAACGGTACTTGTGAGCGGAGGCATAGAACTTTTAGAACAGTACTAGAGAAGCTATACTATATTCATGGTCAGTTGGATTCTAGAGTGCCGATGCTAGTAGAGCAAGCTACTAATGCGGTGAACTTTATGCCAACTAGAGCGTTAGACGGTCTTAGTCCTTACCAAGCTCAATGGGCACTCAACCCATTTTCACTGGAACCTCATGACCCTGAAAACTTGAATGATCAGCAGGGACCAATGATCGTTGACAGTCCAGCATCTGAAGCATATCGCGTGCGATGCGATGCTCGTTCAGAACTTGAAAAACTAAAGAAGGGCAAAGCGTTCATTGCTGACAGACATGCGTAAGCTGAATGAAATGCAGCGTAACGCCTATCCCGAAGCGGATCAGATCAAAGTCAATGATCTCGTTGATATTTTTGACAAGGACAAAGAAGCATGGCTCGGACCAGCTAAGTTGATTCACATTCAACAGAACGAGTTCACTTGTACTTTTGTAGTCGACTACGACGGAAACTTTAAGAGGGTGCACGCGTCCCATATAAGGCGCCACGTAACTCCTCAAGAGCTCAATTTCCCGCCGATGTTGTTGCGAGTCCTATACAAATCGCACGGTTTGTCGCCTCCAGACCAACAACATCCTGACACGTTTGAAACGGTACCGGTAAAGTTCAAGTCTGTACAGACAAACGCTAACGAGTCTGAGACAAAGCCTCCTTTAGTCTTGGAGCGTCCACCAAAGATTAAATCTTCCTCGTCTGATCACGGGAAATCTCAGCCCGGCGGGGAGTCGGCCGCTCCAAAGCAGACAGAAGGAAAGTTTAAACTTACTAAGAACTACACTCAGCAAGTTTACAACAGACTCCAAGTTGAACATGAAGCACAGCTTCGAAGGATAGCCGAGGAGCATCTTCAGAAACCTGCCAGAGGAGCGTGGCGGGAGCGCAACGCAATAAAATCAAAAGCACTCAAAGAGATTCGTGAACTTATCCAGGCACAGCCTGAATATAAAGACCTAAAAGAGGCTCAGCTGAACAAAATAGCAGCTGAAGTCTATAGGCAAAGCCAAGACTACGCCTCAGACGACACGAATCTAGACGACCAAGATGAAAACTTTGTTGGATTCATTTCCCCCTTTCTATGCTCTGACTGGGAGAAAGATGAAAGCGGGACTTGTATGAAGACAGCATCTGTCGGCGCTGAAGATCAGTCTGGATATGACCTCACTGGAAGGCAGCCATTGAGAAAGAGCTCAAAGCTCATGCTCATGTATTTCGACCCGCGACAAATAGCGAAGTAACTCACTGGGTACAACAGAAAAACAGCTTCATACCCTGTAAGATGTTGCTATCGATCAAGCGCGACGGTCGTAAGAAGGCTAGGATAGTTTGTCTAGGTTTTCTAGATAAAGTTTCAAGCTACGACGACAAGTATGCCGAAGTGCCAGACTTGTGTCTTATGCGCCTACTACTTGCAATAGTTTGCCAGCAGCCAGATATATTTATGTTTCCATCTGATGCTACGTCAGCTTTCTTACAGTCTCCTTACCCAGTCCCAGTTTTGATCACCTTAGACCAAAGACTAAAGTCTTACCTCAACTATGAGCACGCAGTAGTACAGTACGCGCTTAACGGTCTAAGATTGTCTTCAAAAGCCTGGGCTGATCATCGTGATGGCAAACTATCGCTATGTGGTTGGGTAAGAAATCCCATAGAACCCACACTCTGGCACAAGGGAGGCGTTTTGCTAGTCGTTTTCGTAGATAACTTTTGGCTTTTTGGAAGAAAGGAGGAAGTTCTGAATCTCCATGCAGAGCTTCAGCCTCGCCTAAAGCTTGTACCCGAGACGGTAGAAGAAACTGCTACTAGTCTCGTCTATGACCTTTTGGGTATCAAGATTATCCAGGATAAAGCTACTGGCAACATGCTACTCAGCCAAGATGAGTACGTTGAAAAAGTATTGGCGCGGTTCGGCGGGGAAGTTGGTAGGACGATACCCAACCCGATGACAACCGCCCCAAACTTGTCAACGCCCGAAGATGTCAAGCTACTGAAGCCTAAGCAAGAGCTTACAGCACTCTGCAGTATCTTGCATCTGGAACGCGGTTTGATATAACAGGACCACTAAAGTTAGCAAGCAAAGCCAAAGCGAACAGGGAATCAATATTAGCACTGAAGCGCATAGTCCGTTACCTCAGAACACGAAGAGCACTGAAGTACGTGAACAGACAAAAGGAAAACAGTGGAAAACTAACACTGTCAATATGGACTGATTCTGACTTCGGATCACAAGAAGGCCGGCAGTCCATATCTGGAATATTAGTTACCTTATGTGGCAACGCGATCTACTGGCGATCACTATCGCAAAGCACGACTGCCACTAGTGTGGCTGAAGCTGAACTGTGCCCAATGTCTGATGGATCAAAAGTTGGACTTCGTTTCTACCACATACTGAATAGTGTGCAGGTGTGGTCAAGCAAATTCTTTAAAGAACCTAAAATCTACTATCCGCTACTACTTAAGTGCGATAATCAGGGCGCAATTAAGTATAGCCAAGGACGCAGCGGAACAGCTTCAAGGCTAAAGCATGTGGATACTCGAAGGTGCTACATGCGTGATCTTGTTGGACGAGGAGCAATCAAGCCGATCTATTTTCAAAGTTTGGCGAACAAATCCAACGGTCTGACGAAGTTGACAGCCGGGGAGGAATTCTCGGAATATCTTCGACTGAGTAACATGGTCGAACTTGTCTGAGCTACTTAGCTTCACTATAATAATCCTCCAACAATTATGTCACTTTGTTAACAGTTTCATGCTATTTCGTAACCTTGCCCTTTATTCGTGATTCATCATTTACCTTGATTCTTATGGTGTTTCACTTCAGTCACCACGTAATCCCTTGCATCTATTTACTTGTTGTTCACATTCATGCAACTGCTTACCTTGTTAACTTTATAATGACGTCAGTCATTTTGTTTACTTCTTATGATTGTTATCGTTGTTTCATCGTGCTAGTATTTATTTTCTCTTGCTTGTTATTATATGAACTTATAGATCTTGAGTAAGAAAGCTGGCTGTTTAGGTTTCCTGGAGCTGGGGAGGATGTCGCGCATATGAGTCAAATCGTTCACTTCCATGAATTCAATCGTTGCGTGCATAAGCTTCCAGGATCCTAACAGCGTCAGCAGCGTAGTGATATCAATCCAAAGGCTTCCACAATCTTGAAGTGCATGAGTCTAGCCGTCTACTTGTTTACTTAAGGATGTCCATGATGTTGATCATGCCCCGAATGATGAGATGCACCAAACACAAAACAGGACCGAAATGGCTCCCCTTTTTACTTGCCAAGTATTTGCATGAGTAACGAAATCACTCCGGTAATTTTATAATCCCGCAAGTGTTCAGCAATACGATCGTCAAGGTATAGAGTAAACAAGTCAATCGGTAAACTGCGCAATAATAAGGGAATTCCAAAAAATTTGCTGGAGCAATGAGTTGCAGATGAATGCGCAAGGAAAGCAAACAGATGCTTCGGTCCAGTGTTGAGAACTTTGATCCAAATTTTAACACTTTGATCCAAATTTCAGCACTTTTATCAAAATTTCAAAACTTTGGCCCAAATTTCAAAACTTTGGCCCAAATTTCAAAACTTTGATATTTAAAATTTCCGGAGCACAGGCAGTGCCGTGTAGTGGCGCTCCGGCTTGGAGAAGAACTAAACTACCCCGCGGGCAAATTTCCCTCCTCTGAGTCTCTTGACGAGACTTACGACCCAGCGGACGACGCTGCAACAGGTGGGCCCTTGGCTGTAGTACTTGGTCGCTACGAAACTTGCTTCCTGGACGCGCCTCCGTAGATCGTGGGCACGGTAGAAGCTAACGCCTCGTCCTTGTCGAAATGCTCTCTGGTTCCGCCCCGAGTGTACAGACAGCCTCAGGGAGCGCCTGCGCGCTCATGGAGGTTAAACAGTATCACCCTGTTGGTCGGCTCGACGCCGAGGGTGGCAGACTCTGGCTCGTCTGCAAGCCACGGGAACCCCAGGAAGGTCAGCAAGTTTAGCGCTAACAAGACTGTCTGGTGAACCCCTTCCATAATAATAATAATAATAATAATAATAATAATACAAGAAACCGGGGTCGCCCCTTGGGCGACCCCTCCTTGATAGCAGCACAGTCACAGGCACAGAGTAGAAACATAAGAGAAAGCAAAAAAAAAAGCGACTGAGGCACGGAGCGCCCGCCCCTTGGCCTTGGCGGCTGCCGTCGAGATGATGGAGAAGAACAAAGACCGAAGCAACCCACGGAACCCAGAACCCTGGCGCGCGGAATCAATTAGGCACGCCACGCCAATGAGACAGGCCCGGCGGACATTCATGCGTGCGCGGGGGCGGGCCGGAGGTGTTGCCAATGCCGTAAGGTGCGCCCGACGTCGGTGAGCCCTCCCAAGCCCGCGCGCCCTGCTCGTCTTGTTCGCTGGTCCCGCTCAGCTTGCCCAGGCAGTTTGGCCGGGGCCAGCTTTGGCCGCTCAAGCCTCTCCGGTTTGAGCTGCCCGCGTTCTCGCCTAGGGCTAGCTGACTGCCCTCGGGTTTGTTCTTTGGCTCAACGAGCGGGGGCTGCCCATCGATCCCGCCTCGGCCCCCAAAGTGCCCCACGACCTCCCCAAACGCAGCACGACCGACCTCCCCAAACACAGCGCGACCTCCCAAACACAGCGCGACCCCTTAAGCACCGCACGGCCCCAAGCTACAACGTGGCCACGCAGTCGCAGCGCGTCCCCCAAGCAACACACGAAGCACCAAAGACACCACGGCCCCCCAAACTTATTAACACACCACGACCACCAAGAAGACACAGCGCGACCCTCCAGGCGACCCACTATCTACGGCCCCCAGCAGACAATACGAGCACGAGCATAGGGGCACAGCATGACCCCCCGCGCAAATTACTACAGACCGCCAGCCCCCAAAAGACAAAGGAAGCAACCCCGCAGACAACACGCAGCCCCTGGGCTATGACATGACCCGCCCCCTAAACAAAAGAGCAAAACCGCAAGAGGCACCGCGACCCCCTTGCGGCACCCCCTGACCCCAAACCCCCAAAGGCACTGCATAGCAAACCATAAAACTGAGCACGGCCCCAAAGGCACGGCGTGACCCCCGGGCACAGTCAGCATAGACCCACAAAGGGACACATGGCCGGACGTGAGGCATGACAACCAAGACACACCAGCACGACCGCCAAAGAGACAGCGCGACGAACTTCCAAAACAACACAGCACCCCCAAAACAGCACGGACCCCAAAACACAGCAAGACCCCGAAGGGCACAGCACTACCACCCCGAACACACCGCGGCGACGAGGACGACTAAGACACCCCACGACCCCAAAGGACCACCATGACCCCCCGACGTTGTAACTTATGGAGACCTCTCGCCCCTACATCATAAGGCCCCGCATGACCGCGCACCATCCAAAGCGCAGCCGCCTGGCCACGCACCAAAACGCAGCACGACGGACCCCAGAAGCACAGCGCCAAGCCTACCAAGGCCCACCATGACCCCCCTCAACTCATTGCGACCAAATGGACGCAGCACGCGGCGACACCACTGAAAAAAGGAAGCCAAGCCACAAAAGGAGAAGCAAAAGCCTGGCCGCCATTTTAAAGGCACAGCGTGACCTCCTCCCAAACAAAGAGCAGCGCGCAGCCTCCAAGGCACCACGATCCCACACCCATACGGAAGACGGACCGTGGCCCTTGAAACACACCACGCGCACCCTGACGCCGCGCGGCCTTCTTAACTCACTGCAAAACACAGCCTGCCCCGCTGCCGTAGCTGCAGCATCCGCATGCCTTCCGAAACATTGCGTGCCTGCCCCCCTGGGAACGAATTGGCCCCCCCTGCACCCACAGGCAGCAGCCACCACCCCCCGAGCACCACCCAAGCAAGACGCCAAGCACAAAGTGACCCACGAGAAACAGACCACAACGACGACCCTCCAACGCATCGCCATCGACTCCCAAAAAAACGCCACGGCGTGACCTGCCTGCAGCATCTACATGACCGCAAAGGGATTCGGCTGCCTCCTCACCGCGCAGCCTCGAGAAACAACATAACCCCAAGGCAAGCACTGCCGCCAGCATGGACGCCAAGGCCCTCACTCGGTGACCCCCAAGTCGCATCGCGATCCTTGAAGACCACCGCGGCCAGATATTCACAACCACACAACGCGCGCCCCCAAGGCGAAACATGGACGGCGACCCCCTGAACACACCACGACGACCACCAAAGCGCGCCGAGCTTCCCCTGACGCTGACACACCACGACCCGCCAAGCATGCCGCAGCCACTCAGACACAGCGGGGCCCCTTAGTAGAAACGCGGCCGCCTGAGGGCACTGCGTTCGCGTTGCGCTTAAAACATCACGCGGCCCCTCAAGACCTGCATGACTGTGAGCACGCGCCGCGGCCGTGCATCCCTCCAAGCTCCTCGCGGCGCGATCTTCCTCCAGCGAGCCACCCACGCACCCCCCCCCTCCGCACTTCGCGACCCTTCAAAACTGCAGGAATACGCACGGCCTCTGCAGAATAGTGAGAGGCTGCCCACGGCCACGGCGCCGCAAGCACAGCGCAGCTTAATGGACACCACTGCCCCCGCCAGACCCCCCCGACACAACGCGGACAGCACCCAAGATGCGACGCAACCCAACAGGCAGCGCGCGACCTCTTAAAGCGCCGCAGCGCAACGAACCCCCCAAGCGCTGCACAGTCCAAAAAACAAAGCCGGACCCCCTGAGCAGGCACAGCGTGAACCTTTGGGCATTATGTAGCAAGCCCCCCAAGCACAGTACAACCCCCCAACGCCCAAGGGGCACCGCGCGACCCCCCAAGCATGAGGTGACCCCAGACACCACATGACCTGCCAGGCACGCCATGACCCTCCAGACACACAAACGAGCCCTTACATGTTCCCAACTACTAGGGAAAAAAACCCGAAAACCTAAAACCGGCCGGCGCTTCTTTCGTCATTTAGTAGCCTGAGTTTGGCGGTTTCGTGGTGCTTCTGGTTTTGTTGTTTGGCTGCTTGGTTTGAGCATTTGGCGCGCTGCGGTTTTTGTTACATAATTTGCTGGGTTTGGGCATTTAGTTTCTCCTCTAAATGGCCAAACTCAGTCAACTATTTTAGTTTACTGTGTTTCGCCGTTTAGCCGCTTGGCTAAACGGTGAAACTCAGTTCACTATTCGTCACTATTCGTCACTATTCGTCACTAATATCCCGGCGAACGCCGCTAAACTACAAAACTCAGGAAACTAAATGCGAAATAGCGTTTAGTTTGCTGAGTTTCCTAGTTTAGTGGCGTTCGCTGGGATATTAGTGACGGATAGTGACGAATAGTGACGAATAGTGGACTGAGTTTGGCCATTTGGTCGCGGTGTTCGCCGCGACTAAAGTGCCAAACCCAAGAAACTAAAGTCCAAAACTTGGGCCACTAAGTTGGTGGCTGAGTTTGGCAGTTTAGTGGCTTCAAGAGGCTGCTCCACTAAACTGCCAAACATGCGCGGGCACCATGGAGGTTTTCGGGTTTTTTTTCCTAGTAGTTGGGAACTTGTAAGAACCCAACCCCCGGCAGGCACGTGCCACGAGTAAAAAGGCACGCCGCGACTCCTTAAACGCCGAGCGACCCCCGCAAAAACACCACGAACGACCACCCCAGACACACCACACCCCCCCCGAACACAGATCGACGCCGCGACCTCTAGCCGCGCTCTGGCTCCCCGACGCGGACGCATGCAAGGACCCCCCCGCGACAACGTGGCCAATATGGCGCAGAAAGGCGCCCCAAGCGCTGAGCGACCCCCCTAGCACACCACGAACCCCAAACACCGACCGACGCCCCGACCTCTAAACGCGCCACGGCCTCCCAAAATTGCCACGGCTTAGCCTCCCCACGTAACATGGCCCCTGGGGCGCAGCTTGGCCAAAGCCAATCCTCCCGGAGCAGCACGAGCACACCCCCGAAAAAGACACAACCAGACCCCCCAACCAAGCACCGCATGGCCNTATCCGATCCTATCCGATCCTATCCGATCCTATCCGATCCTATCCGATCCTATCCGATCCTATCCGATCCTATCCGATCCTATCCGATCCTATCCGATCCTATCCGATCCTATCCGATCCTATCCGATCCTATCCGATCCTATCCGATCCTATCCGATCCTATCCGATCCTATCCGATCCTATCCGATCCTATCCGATCCTATCCGATCCTATCCGATCCTATCCGATCCTATCCGATCCTATCCGATCCTATCCGATCCTA